GTCTTAGTGTGCTGCGAATGTATCAAAACCTTCATTGTACGAAACAACCTTAATAATATTCAGAGCTATTGTTGTACATACACTAGCACTGTTGTTAATAATAACTGTAATGTAGCCAAGACTGAAATGATAATAAATATTATTTAATAACACCTTTTTTCATATTTCACAATTATGTAAGTTTAGTCTAAAATTATCAACAAAGTAATAAAAAAAGTTTGGTGGCCAAAAAAAAATGAGTGTAAATCTATCATATCACATGTTGTTATTATTCTCTTGTTTCAGGTCTGATGGACTACGATGCTGCGCTGAAAATTAGTCCTGACAATCCAAAGCTGATTGCCGATGCCAACAAAATGAGAACAATTATCCAGAGTTCTAATGAAGCAGGTTATGAAGATGATGTTGATGAGTCAAGTTGACATCGTGAATTTCAATATAGTTAATTTTGTACCAATTTCATCGTTTGTCTGTCCAATGATAATCGTGTACTCAAATGTCATCAATTGAATGTGAAAGTATCCATCCAGCAATGCCAGTCAATGTGTATAGATATAAACTGATCATATCAGTTACTGTTGAGGTGCCTACTTGCCGCTAACTGTGCATGTTGCCAATGTTGTGATGAGTGGCAATGTCGCAAATCTTTACATATATGTGAAGATGTATTGAAGACAAGTTTTATTTCCATTACGGAAATTACTGTAAACCACTTCAATTTTGCAAAATAGTGACAATTGGAAAAGTTTGGATACTATAGACTATAGCGGCTTTTGTGAAATGTTCTCAAGAACGCTTGAATATCACTAAATCATGAACATTTGCTAGTATCGAAAATGAAATGGCTTACAGTGGTACCATACTCGAATACAGTATTACTTGCATGTTATTAATTAATTAACTTTATGCTAAAGCAGTCACTGTGGTGTTGTCATCTGCACGCATACACAGGAATTGAGTCCTGTGTGAAAATAAAAACACACACTAAAAATGCAAATGCTCATGAGTAGATGCTTGTTTTTTAAACAAAGACATGCTATGCCCATCTGCTGTGTGCACCGATGACAACTCCCACGCGTTGACTTATTCTGCACATTCACTTTGTCTGTATTGTCCAAAATATGAAAAATCATGACATTTATTTTGGGGGAATTTTGATCCAGCCAATAGACGAGTGTACTATGAATGAGAAAACTGCCAATTTGATTTGCATATTTTTTGATCACCTGTTGTACTCCAATCAGAATGAAATGTCACATCTCATTTGCATGTTTTTAAATTCCTTTATTTTCTCCTCCAATCAGAAATGACAAGGAAAATCTGATTTGCATAACAAATTAGCATACAGGTATTCATATAGCTTATATGAAGTATTAAAATCACACTTCATAAATCATATACATCAAATATAATGCGATTTTTTATTTCTTTTGGATGCTATATATAATAGTAAAGAAGGTTTGGCAAAATACTATTCTGGTCATATGTCGACAGGGTACTGATAATTGATGGTACAGTAAAAAACACAAGAAAGCTGCGTGTACTGTTGAATATAATGTATAAATAATGGTAGTTGGTAGTTCTTGGTAACTATTAAATATAATCATAATTGTGTTTTGTCTGGTTGTATTGATTAATTTAATACCAAGGACCTTTTTTTTATATATATATTATTGATGATACCAAGAGTGAGATACAAAAAAATGGAATTGAATGCTCATTTAATGGGACTAATTTATTTTTTTATTTATAGGTTGTGTGCATGTTAAGGTATTTCAAGGTTATCAATATCACCTTTTGATGGGTGATGTCATTAGCTGTATTATTCACAAATCAAAAGTTTTATGTTTTTTTTATTTATTCTTGCTAAATTATGATAATTGTGATTTTGTTGATTTTTTTAAAATAATTTTTAAAATATTTGATGGAATGTATATTTTTTTGTATTTGTATGCTGAAATTGTGTGTATAATATTTTTTTAATAAAGTGTCATATTTGTCCTAAAAGTGAATTACTTTTGACCCATTACTTTTTATCTTTTGGTGCAGTCATTTAAAAATATGTGTTTTAGATGAAAAAGATTACATTATAATTGCAGCATAGTTACTAGGAAAACATGGTGCACTCTAAATGGATGGTTCTAAAATTAAAATCCTGCTTTGAGTTGAAACACCAAAAAAAAAAGGGTTCACATGGGAGAGTGTGCAGCAGAATTCAAATGCGGGGGTTGAAGCTATTGGCAGAAATTCATAGATGCAGTTTTATAAGATATTTGTGTTTGACTGGGCCTCATTGAACTTGGGATCTGTCATGATCTGTTGAAGTTGGTCACAAGCCTGTCAAAAGTGTCGTGTAATGCACACAAATAATCCTAAATTGTAACAACAGTCTGTGGTCAGTTTTGAAGGGAAAGGAGTTTTTCAACAATCAACCTGAGTGAATGAAAGAATCCGACGATGATACTGAATTCACCGGTTTGCAGAGTAATCTTTATTACATAAACACTACTAATATTGAACACAGAAAACAAAAATATATATTTCTTTCAAATATATAAATCTTGAATACATGTATAAT